CTCTTCCTGTTTCTGTGGGAAGGGAGGAGATAAGGGGAGAAGCTTATACACAGCCTCCCAACCACCCCAGTACCCTGAATGGGAAATGGCCACCAGATGTCAGCCCAGGGTCCCCAGTGTAGAGCATACTCCAAGGATTCCACCCAGGTGGTTTCTTTTTTTTTTTTTTTTTTTTTTTTGTTAAGATTTATCTATTGGGCCCGGCATGATAGCCTAGTGGTTAAAGACCTTGATTTGCATACGCCAGGATCCCATATGGGCGCCAGTTCTAATCCTGGTGGCCCCATTTCCCATCCAGCTCCCTGTTTGTGGCCCGGGAAAGCAGTCGAGGACAGCCCAAAGCCTTGGGACCCTGCACCCACGTGGGAGACCCGGAAGAGGGTCCCGGCTCCTGGCTTTGGATTGGCTCAGCTCCAGCTTTTGCAGCCGCTTGGGGAGTGAACCATTGGATGGAAGATCTTCCTCTCTGTCTCTTCTCCTATCTGTATATCTGGCTTTCCAATAAAAATAAAGAAATGTTTAAAAGATTTAAAGGATTAGAACTGGTGCCCATATGGGATCCTGGCACGTGCAAGGCACGGAATTTAACCACTAAGCTATCGCGCTGGGTGGTTTCACTAGTTCTGAAATGTTGATATTGCTGATCTAAGGATGAAGGTTCTTTACTTTTTTAAAGATTTGTTTCTGTTCACATGAAAGGCAGTCTAAAAGAGAGAGAGAGAATCTTCCATCTACGGGTTACTCTCCAAATGACCTCAATGGCCAGGGCTGAGCCAGTGGAAACCAGGATCCAGGAACTCCATCCAGGTCTCCGTTGGGCGGCCAGAGCCCAAGCACGTGGGCCGCCTTGCACTGCCCGCCCTGGTACCTTACTAGCAAGGAACTGGATCAAAAGCGGGTGAGCCAGGACTCAAACCCACACCCTAATTTAGTCTGCTGTTGTCTCACAAGCAGTGGCTTCTTCCACCATGCCACAATGCCAGCCCCTCTAGGTTGTCTCTCTCAGAATGGTCTCCCTCCTCCCCCCTTTGATTTGTACGTAATATTTGTGACATGCCTAGGCCTTCTAAGGTCTCGGGGTGGCCTGGCTGGTTCTCAGTGCCCTGGCAACTGCAGCAACAGCTTACAAGAGACCTCGCCCTCCACTCAGACCTCGACTTGGAATTCTGCTCCTGTCCTGATCTTGGCTCAATGCAGATCTGAGAACTTAGTTCTGTGATTTTGGACAAGTTACTTCTCTTTGAAACTTCATTTTCCTCCTGGGAGTAATCGTTGGGAAAGCTAGGGAAGCATTAGAATCCAGCTTGTTCAGAAGAGGCACAGGCCCACGCCAAAGACGGGCAGAAGAATAGCAGCTGCAGTCAGGCAATGTCCAGGTTTTGCTGGTCAGTCAGAGTGGACTTCACAGAAGGGGCGGAGCTGAGGAAGGATGAAGCTTATGGTGGCAGGCCTGCACCTCTCCGAGATGCGCAGGAGACCAGGGGACACTAGGGATGGGTGACACGGCCCTGGGAGAACAGCACAGCTAGAGGCCAACTTGGAGGACGCTGGAAGGACAGCACAGCTACAGGCTGACTGGGAGGACTCAAGCTGCGTTCTGAGCCCTGCTCCCACTCTGCACTTCTAGGTTGGGTAACTGGGCCATGGTGTGACCTTTCTCTTCAGAGTTTATAAAGGGGTTGGAAATACCCAGTGTGTCAAAATCTCTCTGGGTGCTTACAGATATGGTCTGTTCTTACTGAGAAGTCCTAGGGTGAGGTATAGGGGACAGAGACGAAGACTAGGGGATCCCCTCCAGTGAAGGGAGGACTGTTCACAGAAGCCCCAGGCCAGGCATCTGCATTCTCTGACCTGTTCTCTCCCAACTCCAGATGACTTCCGGATCTTCTGTGGGGATCTGGGCAATGAAGTCAATGATGACATCTTGGCACGCGCCTTCAGCCGCTTCCCATCCTTCCTTAAGGCCAAGGTGATCCGTGACAAGCGCACAGGCAAGACCAAGGGCTATGGCTTCGTCAGCTTCAAGGACCCCAGTGACTATGTGCGTGCCATGCGCGAAATGAATGGTGAGTGAGGCTTCCCCTAGACATGTGGGTATGGCAGGCCTCTGGCCTAAGCCTGACCTTATCCTAACGTTGAATTCTCCATTCCCAAAGGAAAGTATGTGGGCTCACGCCCTATCAAGCTTCGCAAGAGCATGTGGAAGGACCGGAACCTGGACGTGGTCCGCAAGAAGCAGAAGGAGAAGAAGAAGCTGGGCCTGAGATAGGGCCTGTGGCTGGGCACCTGCTCCCACCCAGCTGGGCCCTGGCTTCTCCCCGCAGTTCTCTTTGGAAAACCCCCAGCTATCCGCTTGCCTACCCCAAAACAAGTTTCAATAAATTTATGTTCCTTTCCATTCCTGCCTAAGCTGCAACTACATCATGGGGAGCCCAGTTCACTCATGCAAACAGCAGGTGGTCATATTAGCCCCTCCTGTGTGGGCTTCATGTCCTAAAGCCTCTGGAGTCCCTGTTGAGTTAGGATCAGCCTAAAGGAGGGAGTCGGGCTCCTGGCAAGGGCAGGGCCAGGCTAGCTGCAGCCTGTGCTCCTGGCGTTCCTGGCTTGTCTCTCCTCGGCAGGCTCTCGCTGAGGATCCGCACCAAGCTGGGAACAGAAGGGTGACCGAAGCAGTTCCCGGCTGAGCTCCTAGAGTGGTCAGGGTAGGGGTGGGGCAGCCCAAGGTACCAGCCTGTGGGCCAGGAGGGATTTCCTGAAGGAGCTGCCCTCTGCCGAGAATCTCTGCCCTTCCTGCCATCCTCACCTGCTGGGTCTCTACGTTTCTCTTGCCAGTCAAACCCTGGCTGTAGTCATGTGAATCTGAGTTTTCTGTATCCTTTTCTTATGTGTGAGTCTGCTCTTCCTCCTCTCTTCCCAGCTCCAGGCTGGGCTCCCCTGTCTGAAGAGGTGTCCATGCAGGACCGTGCATGCCCAGCTGGGATCCTGGATGTTTCTGTAAAGACAGCAGCAAGCAGGGTGCTGGCATGGTAGTCCTTAGAGGCTGCCTCTGGAAGGAGGCTGGAGTGTGAGGAGGGAATGAGTGTCTCCTGGGGTCACACCCTTGGAGCTATAGGTTGGGGAGGGAGCCATTTGGAAAGGATTCAAGGGGCCTGGTGGGAAGGAGGGGTGTCAAATTTCCTCCTTTCCGGTCTTCATGGCCCTGTCTCTGACGTCACATTTTCCAGTCTGGCCAGAGGGGTGATGGCCTTCCTCCCGCACAGGAAGTCCCCTGCAGCCCCCTGCCACCTGGCCTGGACCACCCAGCCCCAGGAGCTCAAGATGCCTGTCTTCCCCAGCACTGGCCCTTCCAACCCTCCGACCACCTTCTCACTGCAACCACTGATTCCCCATGAAGCCTCCCTGGGGACCGAGAAGACTGCAGGAGGCAGAGACAGGAGGTGGGAAGGGAGATGGGGAGAAAACCTGTGAGAAGAAAGACCTGGGGTCTGGAATCTGAGTGTCTCAGAACACGGATGACGTGGCCACTAGAGCCAGGTGTGTTGCAACAGTCAAAGCTAGGGTGCAGTCAGGCAGCATGGGGCCAGGGCAGTCACCTGTGCTGCATGAATTGGGGGACCCTAGCACCCAGGGCTCTGTAGCTCCCACACTGGATCTAATTCCAGCCCTTCCTCCAGCAGCGTGGGGTCCCCGAGAGACTACTGCTTGAGGCCTGGTGTCCCTCAGCATCTCCAAGCTCCTTTCCAGAATGGCAGACAGGTGCTGATGAGGAAGCTGTGAGTTGGAAGATGCCGGTGTTAACAAGACTTAGGATCATAGAGAACCCATTCCCTAACAGCAGGGCACAAGCAGTCAGTCCCTAAAGCCAGGTTACCTGCTGGGGGGCTGCTAGAGTGAGCAAATAAAGCATGAGACCTAAGTTACTGAATTCCAGATTTTTTTCTAAAATGTGTCCCAAATAGTGTATCAAGCTAAGCTACACACTGAATGTTTTCTAGTTTTTGCTGAATTCTTTGAAACAACTTATAAGACATTGCATCACTTCACCTCAGTATGTGTTCATTTCCTTATGATAGAGACATCATAGCATCATATTATCACATCTAAGAATATCAATAATTCCTCTCATACCTCTCCATTTACATTCAAAATGTCCCCAGTTGTCCTGAACTCTGATATTGTGGAAGGGGCTCCAGCTTCAGATAGGAAGTTCACCTTAACTTCCTCCTTCATAAAATGGGATTAAGAATTGTGCCTCTTAAAAGGCCTCAGTGAGGACCCAGGGCTCAGCTAGGGCAGGAGCCTGCCTTTACCATTAGCTGTTGTTATGGTTACTGTTTATATGGCTGATGTTATCACTGACACTTTGCAGAGGCAACCCCAGGATGCCATCGCCAACTTGGCCAGGGAGTGGGGGGTGATGGATTCTGAGTTGACCCCCACTGCCTGACAGGCACCCTACCGATTGTGACGTCAGCAAGGGGGTAGTATCTGGCCGGAAATCCCTCTTCCTGTTGCTGATAAGCCGGGCCAGCCCAACTGACCCCAGACCCTCCTCCACCGCCCTGCTCCACCCCCATCACCTTGTGCACCGCCCCCAGCCCCTGTGTCTCGCCCCACCCTCTGCTCTCCTTGACCCAACCCAGCCCAAGCCACCCTGGAGGCTCAGAGGCCAGTGCCCACGCCCTGAGGCAGGGGGCGCAGTGGGCCCCGCCCCCAAGCCCTGCAACTTGACCCAGGCTGCGACCACCGGCTCTGACGTCTTGGAAAATTTCCCCCCTGCCCAAGTCCCCCATGGGAGGGGGTGCGTGGTATGAAATGGGGCTGAAACCCCCAGTTGGAGGCAGAAGAAGTCGCCAGAGGTGAGCCATGAATGTTGGGGTTGGGAAGGACCAGGGTGCCAGGACTGCTGGGTCAAAGGGAGGGAGAAGGATGGATGGGGCGAGACTGCGGGCTCATCCACTGTCCTCTTGATTTGTCCCCCAGAACGCTCCGGAGCACCCATGGACTTGTGGAGCTGGGAAGAAACGGCGCCGCAGGAAGTGCCCCATGGGGACAAGCTGTCCGCGCTGGGTAGGCTGCTGAGGGGGCCAAGACCACTGCCCTGAGGGGGGAGCTGGTGCCCAGGTGGGGAGTCTGACTGGCCCCTGACCCGGCCCCATTTTCATCCTGTAGTGCCTGCAGAAGGAGCCGACTTCGGTTTTTATTTTCCTGAACTGGCGCTCCCAGGGGACACGCCCACCGCGGAGACTAGCTGGAAAGGTAGTGGCTGCTGGCTGAGATCCCGGGGTGCTAGGGAAACAGGGAGGCGGGGTTCGCAGGGCGCCTGAACTCTTGGGCTGAGTGGGGGATGCGGGGAGGGAGGCGCGGGATTGGCATCCCCGAGCGCAGTTCTTCCCCTAGTGTTAGCTGCGCTCCTTTCCCTTCCAGAGCTGGCCTGGAGCCCGGCATTACCGCCCACAGATGGTAGCAGCCCGCAGCCTGCAGCTCCCTGGGGGGCTGGTGAGTGTGTGACAAGAGGCTATGGGGTAGGGGTGCCCTGAGCTCTGGGGACAGCGAGGCTGCACATGTAAACCCCTAATCTTCATGGAGAGAAGGAGCTAGGCCTGGGATACCTGAATCTTTAAGGTGACCTGGCCTAGATCCGTGCCCAATGCCCCAAGACTGCGTGCTTAGGGCACCCCAACCCTTCAAGAGGATGTTGAGGGGCTGGCCCCTGGACACTTGGACTCCCCTCACGTGCTGGCTATTTCTCCTCCCAGAGCCCGCTTTTCAGGCCCACGCGTGGTCAGTCGACTGGACGGACTCGGTGTGCCCAGCCGACCCAGCGTGCCCCACCTCGGACCCCTGGAACCGCTTCTCCCACACCTGTGCTGGGGCTGAAGTGGCAACTGCTCCCTCGGCCGCAGGGGCCACCTCGTGGTCGTGTGCCCAGACCTCCAGGAGCACCACCAGCTGGGACTGTGCTGTGAACCCCAACGGCGCCACCTGCTGGGGCGACGGCCTGGGCGGAGAGCCGCTTGTGGACTACACCGGGTCCTCGGGCAGGCCTGCGGGCTCCGACTGCACCAGCTCCTGGTACCCGGAGCCGCAGGCCGAAAGCGCCACGTTTTCGGGGTGCCAGAGTTCAGCTCTCACCTCTTCCTCCAATCTGAGCCAGCCTTCGGACCCTCCCAGTCTGGCTCGTGCCCCCAAAACCAACCACCGAGGTGAGGGTTCTTGAAATCTGGGCCCAGAATTCAGCTGGGACAGGTTGGCAGCCCCTGGTCCCTGAGGGTGCAGGACTCCAGAGTCGGGTATCATTGGGACGGGACTTAGGACCTCAGCGCTGGAGGGGAAGGAGCCAAGGAGTGGCCAGCACCCCTGTGTCCTGGGGGAGGTGGGAGGGTGGATAGGGAGCCATTCAGGGACCAAGGACAAGTGGACTCCGGCTCCCAGGTACTGCGGAAGGAAAAGAGATGGGTGTCCAGACGGCTGAGAGCCCGAGGCTTCCTCTCGAGTTTGCTTGAGGGATCTGGGCCCTTGGGTCCCCAGCTAGGAGGATCTGGGTACTGGAAGCAGCGCGGTGCGGGGTCCGCAAGCAGGGTGTTCACCGGTGTCCACCCTGCAGGTCCCATTCAGCTGTGGCAGTTCCTCCTGGAGTTACTTCACGACAGGGCGCGTCGCAGCTGCATCCGCTGGACAGGCAACAGCCGCGAGTTCCAGCTGTGCGATCCCAAGGAGGTGGGGCCACTCCCCTGCCCCGCGGTGCTCCTGACCCCCTCTCCAGCCCCGTCCCAGCCCTTGGGGCCCCGCCAGCACCCCACCCCAGCCTTACGCGACCCCAGCCCTCACTGGCCCCTGGCTCCGCACCCACTGAGCCCTGCCTCCGCCCTAGGTGGCGCGGCTGTGGGGCGAGCGCAAGAGGAAACCAGGAATGAATTACGAGAAGCTGAGCCGAGGCCTGCGCTACTACTACCGCCGGAACATCGTGCACAAGAGCGGGGGACGCAAATACACGTACCGCTTCGGGGGTTGTGTGCCGGGTCTCACCTCTCTGGACTTTGCAGGCGACGAACTGGGGGCAGAGACTCAATAAAATGACCCTAACCCAACCTCGTCGTGCGCGCTTGTCTGCTTCTGTTCATATGGGCGCCGCCAGCACGCCCAAGCGTGCACCCTTCCACTTGGGAGCTACACGACCACCCAAGCGCGTGCACCCTCCTCTCTTTCCCATCACCCGGAAACACGAGTCTTTGTCCTTTGGCTGCCTGGAAGTCCACGCGGGGCTCACCCAGGAGAGCAGGCCACTGACCCCTCCTCTCCCGCGCGCCCAAATACCTAAACTCCATCCCCTTGCTGTCAGTTTCGAAGGCCCCGCCCCCTCGGGCAGTTTGGAAGATAGTGGGGGAAGCAGTCTCCCCAGGTTTGTGGGGAGACCCTAAGACATCGCTAGCGCTCACCGGGTACCCCGCCTGAGATGAGGAAGGCACACAGGGCCTACCGTGTGCCTGCCCGGAGTCACAACTTGTAAAGGAATCAAACCTAATGGCAACACTTGGCTGTGTGCCCCTGGAAGACACAGATTCTAAAAACAGAAAAAATGTTTGATGTTACAGATTTTTTTAAGGATTTATCTTTTATTTTTTATTGGAAAGGCACATTTACAGAGCAGGATAGAGAGAAAGATCTGCCCGCTGGTTCACTCCCCAAATGGCTGCAACAGCCAGAGCTGAGCCCACCTGAAGCCAGGAACCAGGAGCTTCCTCCAGGTCTCCTATGCGAGGTGGGTGCAGGGTCCAAAAGCCCTGAGCCATCCACCACTGCCTTCCCAGGCCACAACAGGGAGCTGGAAGGGAAGTGGAGCAGCTGGGAAACAAAGCTGCACCCACATGGAATCCCAGCGAGAATTTTATCCACGAGGCCACCCTAAAAATAGAATTCTAAAAAACAGCCCTGGGCCTGGCATGATGGCCTAGCGGCTAAAGTCCTTGCCTTGAACACACCAGGATCCCATATGGGCACTGGTTTTAATCCCAGCAGCTCCAGTTCCCATCCAGCTCCCTGCTTGTGGCCTGGGAAAGCAGTCGAGGACGGCCCAAAGCCTTGGGACCCTGCACCCATGTGGGAGACCAGGAAAAAACTCTGAGGCTCCTGCTTTGGGTTAGCTCAGCTCCAGCCATTGCGGCTGCTTGGGGAGTGAACCATCTGATGGAAGATCTTTCTCATCTTCCTCTCTGTGTATCTGACTTTCCAACTAAAAAAAAATAATAAAATAAATCTTTAAAAAAAAAACTAAAATCCAGCCCCACTAGGGATTCTCAAGGAATTAGACCTAATGCTTGGCTTCCCATATGACATCTATTCTGTTTTTCCACTCCAAGCAGAAGACAGTAGAGCTCAGCCTACACCTGAGGCATCGGTTTGTGTGCTAGCTGCTCCACTTCCCATTCAGCTCCCTGCTTGTGGCCTGGAGAAGCAGTCAAGGACAGCCCAATGCCTTGGGACCCTGCACTCGCATGGGAGACCCAGACGAGTCTCCTGGCTTCAGATCAGCTCAGTTCTGGAGGTTGTGGCCATTTGGGGAGTGAATCAGCAAATAGAAGAGCTCCTTTGTGTCTCCCCTTCTCTGTAAAGTCTGTCTTTCAAATATAAATAAGTAAATCTTAATTTAAAAAATGGAGTCCAGCACAATAGCCTAGTGACTAAAGTCCTCATGTTGTATATGCTGGGATCCCACACGCCTATCCCAGCCGCTCCTGACTCCTGGCTTCAGATCAGCTCAGCTCCACTGGTCACTTGGGGAGTGAGCCAGCGGGCAGAAGATCTTTATCTCTGTCTCTCCTGCTCTCTGTAAAATCTGATTTTCCCATAAAAATAAATCTTCAAAAAAAATGAAGTCTGGAAGCTTGGAGAGAGTTCTGGGCTCCAGCAAGGTTGTAATGCGACCACAGCGTTAACAGCATCCCGCTGGCTGAGTGGGCAGGCTGTAGGCAGCTACAGGAAGGCCGAGCCAGGGAGTGAGCAAGCTGAAGATGACGGTGACTTACACCATAGAACATCCCCAAAATTGGCTGGATGAATTGTTCTATAACCCCCAAACCCGAGTCTACCCACGATGCCCAGTAAGTCAATAGCTGACCCTGGGGTGGCTAACAAAGTAGGTATTCAAGGGAAACACTGAGCAAGGAGCTAGGCAGTATGGCTTCATTCCCGCGTTCCCCAGGGGTTCATGGTAAGGTTCTTGGTACGAAGGCTGCAGGTGGGAGGTGCACACGTGTTCAGCTCTTGTCCAAGCACCCAGCTGTCGGCCTGATGTGCTCATGACCTTCCTCTGGGTGGCTGTTGGCACTGTGTTCTCTAGAGAACTTGGGGGATGGCCAAGTGGGCTCCGGTTAGCCTGAGGGCTACATGGAGGTGGTGGCTGCATCAAGTTAACGGGGATGGGGAGGAGGCTGGGAGACAGTGGGAGACTGGAGCCAGAGAATGGGTCGGCTTTCACTTCAACTGGATGTAGCAAAGGAATATCCTGAAAGTGGTTTTATTTAAAAAAAAAAAATTATTGTTATTAAAAAGGCAGATCAGATTTATGGAGAAAAGGAGAAACAGAAAGATTTTACAACTGCTGATTCACTCCCCAAATGGCCACAAGGGCTAAAGCTGAGCTGATCTGAAGCCAGGAACCAGGAGTTTTTTCTGAGTCTCCCACCACACGGGTGCAGGGTCCCAAGGCTCTGGGCCATCCCCCACTGCTTTCCCAGGCCACAAGCAGGGAGCTGGAAGGGCAGCAGAGCAGCCAGGATATGAACCAGCACCCATATGGGATCCCAGTGCACACAAAGCAAGAACCCTGGCCACTTGACTACTCACCAAGCCCAGGGAGAGTGTTTAAACAGGAAGTCTGTGGGTTTCCTCAAACCAGTAGTACTGGGGAGGGTTGGTTTTAATTCCCTGAGAACAGACTCTTCACAATTACTGGGACAGGGATTCTTTTTTTTTTTTTTTTTTTTTAGATTTATTTTTATTATTTTTTCATTGGAAAGGCGGATATACAGAGAGGAGAGACAGAGAGGAAGATCTTCCGTCCGATGATTCACTCCCCAAGTGAGCGCAACGGGCCGATACTATGCCGATCCGAAGCCAGGAGCCTCCTCCGGGTCTCCCACGCGGGTGCAGGTTCCCAAAGCTTTGGGCCGTCCTCGACTGCTTTCCCAGGCCACAGGCAGGGAGCTGGAAGGGAAGCGGGGTTGCCGGGATTAGAACCGGCGCCCATATGGGATCCCGGGCATGCAAGGCGAGGACCTTTAACCACTTGCGCCACCGCGCCGGGCCCTGGGACAGGGATTCTTGCATTATGTCCGACAACGCATTCTCAATCTTCATAAAGTCCTCAGCACAGGGTAAGCTACCCAGACATCTTTTCTTTCTTTTCATTTCGTTTTTGTTGTTGTTTGTTTGTTTTTAAGATTTACAGAGCGAAGACAGATTTACAGACAGAAGGAAAGACAGAAAGAACGATCTTCCATCCACTGGTTTTCTCCGAAATTGGCCAAAATGGCAGGAGATAAGCCAATTCAAAAGCTTAGAACCAGGAGCTTCCTTTGGGACTTGGGCTTTCCTAGGTCACAAGCATGGAAACCAGATGGGAAGTGCAGCAGCTGGGACACAAACTAACATCCATATAGGACGCCAGCGCTTACAAGTGGAGGATTAGCCTATTGAGCTAGCGCACCAGCCCCTCAAAACATCTTTGTTACATAAGAAAAATTATTTCGGCTGGAACAGTCTTTCTACTCCCGCTTTCCAATCAACCTCGGGACCTAGAACTCCTGGAGAGGTGACACATCCTGGATGAGACCCAGTTAGTTCACATACAGCACCGTCCACCCCCGATTGCTCCTGACGGACAGGTATTTGGCCCAATAGGAAGGCCTAGTTCCGTCTGGGCGTGGCCTAGAAGGCTTCGGGAACTCCCGCCCCACTCCGACGCTCTAGCCGCTTGGAAGACTCCTCCCTTCGTCTCTCCTCGTCGTCCAGCTTCCGCCCGTCTGAATTCCGCTTCCTGTCTGACATTGGCGTCTCTGCTGAGGGTCACATTGAGCTTGGAGGCGCTTCGGGGGTGTCGTGAGGTGAGTGTGGCAGGCTCGGGGGCCGCGGGGCACCCAGCCTCTCGGGCTGAGGAGCCGGACCCGTGCTGCTCCCCGGAGCTGGGCGAGCGGCCGCCTGGACCCTGCTGGCCAGCCAGCAATCGAGTGGTTCTTGCCCGCTAGGCCCGGCGACCCTGGACACCGCCACCTCCCTCCCCTCTGCACACCGCAACCTCCCGCTCCCTCCCCCGGCTACCCTTCCCCTGGGAGGGGGTCCTCTGGGTCGCCCCAGATTCCGTGGTAAATAGGCACTTAGGAAATGGCTGAGGGGAACTGTGTGTCGCCCCTTCAGACTCCCAGCTAGCTGCAGAATCCGTAGTGCAGGCGTGTGCATGGAGGGGGCACTCCAACCCTGGTGTACTGACCTCTGGCTGCAGGGGACCCCATTCGGGTGGGAACGGGGACCCCCGTGGCCTCGGTGGGATGTGCAGCCTCTTGAAGTGGCAGCTGTTCTCATGTCACTGTGATAACCTCCACCTGTCACTTGGCAGCGCTTTCCCCAAGGAGGACCTCACAGATTGTGCCATGTCGCGCATCCTCAGCTAAGGAGGACTGTCCCTTTGTGACCCTGGGCAGTTTTGTTTTTAAATGCATTGAAACATTCTGAAAGAGTTAAGACAAAAAATTCATTAGAATTTGTGGCATCAAAATTTAAAAAAAGAAAGAAAGATTAGGGATTTTTGTAGCCTAGCATATACTGGGCATGGAGACAGTTGACCATGTGCATGCTGTGTGACCTTGGGGAGGCCCCTGGACACGCTGTGCCTTGTCTGAGCAACAGGGATGATGGGAGATGGACATGAGGTTTGTGCAGCAGCGCCAGGCATACAGCCAGGGATGGCAGGTCTTGGGCGCGATCAGGCCTAATTTGGCCAAGGACTTTCCTTCAGTGTGCGCGCTTGTGTGTGTGGTGGCAGGGACTAGGGGGGAGTGGAGAGGTGGTAGTGTGTCCCCACCTGCCCCAGGAGTGTGATGTCCCATGCACAGAACCCTGGCCAACACCCACTCCAGTCTGTGTGTGGATGAGTGGGTGTCTGTGTAGAGGTGGTCATGTGTCCCTACCAGCCCCAGGGATGTGACGTCCCCACGCGCACAACCAAGGCCAACACCCACTCCTTGGGCCCGCAGGCTCAGCATCATGGCCGAAGACATCAAGACCAAAATCAAGAACTACAAGACCGCTCCTTTTGACAGCCGCTTCCCCAACCAGAACCAGACCAAGAACTGCTGGCAGAACTACCTGGGTAAGAAGTGCACAGAGTGGAGGGTGGCGGATGCAGGGCTTCCCTGCACCCCCACTCATCCCAGGGGATCCGACAGCCCTTGCCCCGCCTTGTGGGCAGAGTGGGGGATCCAACTTTGCTTCTTACAGATTGATTTATTTGTTTGAAAAACAGTTACAGAAAAGGAAAGAAAATTTTTCACCTGCTGCTTTATTTCCTAAATGGCTGCGACTGCTAGGACAGGGTCGGGCCAAAACCAGGAATCCAGAATTCCATGTGGAAATCCTGCATGGGTAACCAGGACCCAAGAACCTAGACTGTCCACCACTGCTCTCCCAAGCATGTTACCAGGGAGCTTGTTAGAAGTGGAGCAGCGGGAGCAGCAGACCCAGCGCCGTAGCCTAGCGGCTGAGGTCCTCACCTTGAACACACCAGGATCCCATGTGGGCTCCAGTTCTGGTCCCGGTGGCCCCACTTCCCATCCAGCTCCCTACTTGTAGCTGGGAAAGCAGTCAAGGACAGCCCAAAGCCTTGGGACCCTGCACCTGTGTGGGAGACCTGGAGGAAGTTCCTGGATCCTGGCTTTGGATCGGCGTAGCACCGACCGTTGCAGTCGATTGGAGAATAAATCATCAGATAGAAGATCTTTCTCTCTGTCTCTCCTCCTCTCTGTATATCGGACTTTCTGATAAAAATAAAATAGGTCCTGGCACAGTGGCCTAGTGACTAAAGTCCTCGCCTTCAACACACCAGGATCCCATATGGGCGCCGGTTCTAATCCCGGCAGCCCCAGCCCCGCTTCCCATCCAGCTCCCTGCTTGTGTCCTAGGAAAGCAGTCGAGGACGACCCAAAGCCTTGGGACCCTGCACCCACGTGGGAGACCTGGAGGAAGTTCTTGGCTCCCGGCTTTGGATCGGCTCAGCACCGGCCATTACTGTCACTTAAGGAGTGAATCAATGAACGGAAGATCTTCCTCTTTGTGTATATGCCTTTCCAATAAAAATATAAATAAATCTTTTAAAAAATTAAAATAAAACAAATCTTTAAAAATAAATAAGTGGAGCAGCCAAGGACTTGCACTAGTGTTCAGGACTGTCAGCATTGCAGACAGCAGCCTAACCTACTGATGTGCAGTACCAGTCCCACAATATTTCTTTAACGGAAGGGGATGTGCTTGCCTGTGTGTATATACGGTACCATACGTACAGTAAAGGGAACACGCCCAGCTGCATGGTGACGTGAACTCCCCACACACCCTAACGCAGAGGGAAGAGCAGGTACTGCCTGCAGGTGTCTCACTGCCCTCTCCTTGCCTAACCTTGAACATAGACCTTATCTTCCCCTCTTTTTTTATGATTTATTTATTTTTATTGGAAGGTCAGGTTTACAGAGAGGAGGAGAGACGGAGAGAAAGATCTTCTGTCCGCTGGTTCGTTTCCCAAATGGCCATAACAGCCAGAGCTGAGCCGATGTGAAGCCAGGAACCAGGAGCTTCTGCCAGGTCTCCCACATGGGTGCAGGGTCCCAAGGCGTTGGGCCGTCCTCAGCTGCTTTCCCAGGCCACAAGCAGGGAGCTGGATGGGAAGTGGGGCTGCCAGGATTAGAACCAGTGCCCGTATGGGGTCCTGGCGCATTCAAAGCCAGGACTTTAGCTGCTATGCTATTGCACCAGGCCTCCCTATTCTCCCCTCTTGAGCTTCCCTGTGTTTTATTTGCCATTTGTTTTACCTCCAAGTTGCCTCTTTGTGTTCTTTAGGCATTGTGTGTGTTCTTTGGTGCTTGGATTTCTCCCCTGGTTGTTCAGGTGTATCTAAGCCTTGGCATGTAGTTTGCTTGTTTTCATTTCCATGCACTGTGGACAGTGTATTCTGGTCCTAGACACATGTGTGGTTTCCATATGGGAGCCGTTAGGAGTTCTGCAGCCATAAACATTCTTGTGAGTTTATGTCTGTGTGTTCTGTCCTCGGGGGAAATTTACCCAGGAGTAGAATACAGCAGGTGTGTGGTTTGTTTGTTTGTTTGGGGGTTGTATTTTTTCTTTAATTGTTTACTTTGAAAAACCAGATTAATTCTCACTTTCCTCTCTACAAATTGGCATCAAAATCTTCCCCTTAACTTACCCTGGTTTTGGATGCCCATAACCCCCACCCACACAGCTTGTTGTTCCCCATACTTCCTGGCCCCATGGTTTTCTCATGGAACACCCATTACCTGAGGCCAAGAATGTCTGGCCTGCAGCAGCCCATGTCAGACCAGCTCTGTCAAAGCAGCTACAGGCAGGACTCAAAAGTTAATAAATCTGGAGTCGGCAGTGTGATGTAGTAAGTTAAGCTTCTGCCTTCAGAGCCGGCATCTAATATGGGCTCTGTTTCAAGCCCTGGCTGCTCCACTTCCGATCCAGCTCCCTGCTAACGCACCTGGGAGGGCAGTGTAAGATGGCCCAAGTCTTTGGACCCTTGGAACCGATGGGGAGACCCAGAGTAAAGCCTGTGGTTCCTGGCTTCAATGTGGCCCAGGCGCAGCCATCGCTGCTCTCTGGGGAGTGAACCAGTAGCTGGAGAAGCTCTCTCTCCCTCTTCCTCTTTCTCTCATTCTACCTTTTAAATAAAATGACAAAATAATTCTTTAAAAAAGGAAAAACAAAATTCAGTGAATCTGTAGACAAGCTGATTTTCAGTTGATGATTTTGTTGGGCCCGTGGATGATGTCATAAATACCTAAGTGGCCCTTGCAGAGAAAAGCTTCCTCAGCTCGAGGGGCTGAGGATCCAAACGAGACGGTGGCTTCATAGTGCACGTGTAAGCTTGCTTTCCTCTGTGAATTACAAATGATTATGAAATCTGAAAAAATAAAAACAAAATAGTATTTCTCATGGAATTTTGATCAGAAACTACTTCCAGTCCAGACTGATCCCCAATCTCTTTCTCCCCAGACTTCCACCGCTGCGAGAAGGCGATGACAGCGAAAGGGGGTGACGTCTCTGTATGCGAGTGGTACCGGCGCGTGTACAAGTCCCTCTGCCCCATCTCCTGGGTATGTCCCTCCTTCGGGGGCCGGGGGCAGTGCAGGGTGGGCAGCGTGCTGACACGGTGGGGGCTCCACTCTGAGGGGCACAGAGCGACAAGGCCTCACGTGATCTGTTCGCAGGTCTGTGCTGAGTCGTCCCGCGTTGATTTTCCAACGAATCAGATGATTGGTAGCAGTTGCTGTTTGTTTTTTTTTGCTTTAAGCAGTGTTTGTTATTAAGATCTGTAGTTTTTTAGATAAAATGACTGCACACTCACCAGATTGCCCTAGAGAATGAACAGTCCTTCAGCGTGCACTGGGAGCACAGGGAAGCATGGGCCTCCCGACCGCCATGGTTCCACTCTAGAACCTGGGCTCCTGTGTCACCACGATGTGGCTGCACAGTGCCAGCTTCCTGTCCCCGTGCATCTCACAGTCTCAGGCAGGCCTGGCCTTCTGGATTCTGAACATTCTCACGTCGTAGGAAAGTGAGCAGTTCAGCAACCCCAGACACATCCCCAAGATTCTTCCATGTTTCCTTCATGTGCCCCATTTCTTTTTCTTCTTTTGTGGACTGTTCTGAAGCAAAGCTCAGTCCTTTGGCTTCACACCTACTGTTATAGAACACACCTGACTCAGGCGCTGCGGCGTGGCCTAGTGGCTGGGGTCCTCGCCTTGGATGTGCCGGGATCACATATGGTCGCTGGTTCTAATCCCGGCAGCCCACTTCCCATCCAGCTCCCTGCTTGTGACCTGGGAAAGCAGAAGACAGCCTAAAGGCTTGGGACCCTGCACCCACATGAAAGCCCAGAAGAGGCTCCTGGCTTCGGACTGGATCGGATCAGATTATCTCAACTCTGGCCATTATACCCATATGGGGAGTGAGTCAGTGAATGGAAGATCTTCCTCTCTGTATATCTGACTTTCCAATAAAAATAAAGAAATCTTTAAAAAGAAGTGTTAGGGCCAGCATTGCAGTATGGCAGGTAAAGCTGCTGCCTGCACAGTGTCCCAGCTGCTCACTGTTCCCAGTCCAGCTGCCTGCCAAAACCCTGGGAGAAGCAGCAGAAGATGACCCACGTGCTTGGACCCTGGCCACCCACAGGTGAGGCCTGGGAGAGGCTCCTGGCTCTGAACTAGACTGACCCAGAGCAGTCCGTTGTGGCCATCTGGAGAGTGAGTCAGTGAAGGGAACACAGCTCTTCTCTGCTCTCACCTTAAACTTATTTTATTGGTTTATTGGAAAATCAGATCCACAGAGAGCCAAGACTGAAAAAAAGATCTTCCTTCCACTGGCTCACTCCCCAAATGGCCGCAATGGCCAGAGCTAAGCCAATCTGAAGTCAGGAGCCAGGAGCTTCTTCCGGATCTCCCATGTGGGCTCAGGGTCCCACATCCTTTAAAATGTTTTTTGTTGGGTGGGTGTTAGGCCAACTGGTTAGACAGGTGGGAGATCCCTGTTCCGTTTGCGAGTGCTAGGTTCGGTGCCCAGCTCAGCGCCTACTCTGGTTTGCTGCCGCTGCGGCCCCAAGAGGCAGCACTGCGGGCCGGGTGGTTGCATCCCCGCCACCCTCGGGAGTGGGCTGCTGCTCTCCACTCTGCCCAGGCCCAGCCCTTCACATGCATTTCACCAAGTGAGGCAGCACATGGGAGCCCTCTGTGTCTCTTTCCGTCTCTGTTCTCTCTACTGAAAAAAACTAAAAGAGAAAGATGCTGTGCTGATATATCGTGTGAGCTGTTGCAGAATGGTACCAGTGGACTTTGTTCATTGAAGGATTGCCATAGACGTGTTTGTTAGCAGACACACGCTCTTTCTCTCTCGCTGGGTCTGCCAGGGGTAGGGGAATGATTCTGCCTTTACCTGCAGTGTATCAGCTCACTTACGAAACTGGGTTTTGTGTTTGTTTGGAATTTATTTTTATTGCAAAGTCAGATATACAGAGAGGAGGAGAGACAGAGAGGAAGATCTTCCACCCTTCCATCCGATGGTTCACTCCCCAAGTGAGCGCAAAAGCTGGAGGTGAGCTGATCCAAAACCAGGAGCCAGGAGCTTCTTCTGGATCTCCCATGCAGGTGCAGGGTCCCAAGGCTTTGGGCCGTTCTCGACAGCTTTCCCAGGCCACAGGCAGGGAGCTGGATGGGAAGTGGGGCCGCCTGGATTAGAACCAGTGTCCATATGGGATACCAGCACATGCAAGAGGAGGACCCTAGCCACTAGGCTACTGCATCATGTCCAAGAAACTGGTTTTGTCTCCTTGGGCAGTGGCTGGCCCACAGCAGGAGCCTGTGGGTACAGGGTGGTGGGCAGCCTGAGGAAGGCATAGAAGCCGACCCTCTGGGCTCCCCCTATGAGGGAATAACCCTGGCTATCTTCACACAGATCTCCACCTGGGACGATCGCCGTGCAGAAGGCACCTTTCCTGGCAAGATCTGAACTGGCTCCACCCACTTCAGCTGCTCCGTCCCTCTTCCCTGGGTGGTCAACGGCGACCTGCGGACACTGACCCCTGCCCTGGGACCCTGAATCATGACTGAACCGTAATAAACAAAAACTCGTTAAAAACGTGTGTGTATGTTTGTGTGTGTCTGTCTGCACACATGCTTTAGGAGCTGGGAGTTGGGCAGGAGGCTCTGCTGAGTGAGGGTGTGACTGGAAGCAGGCCCCCAGGTGGTCTGTCTTGGTCTTCTGTGCTTTTTCACTGTGTTTTCCCTTCAAGCACCTCTTGTGTGCCAGTCACCACAGTTAAGGCCCTCATTGGGGCTAAAATTGATCTGCATGCCTACTCCGATTATTTACATATTATTTCAGAGTTACAGGGGGAGAGAAAAAAAAAAAAACAGGGAAAGATCTTCCATCCCTGCTTCATTCACCAAATGGCTGCAACAACTGGGCCTGGACCAGGCTGAAGTCAAGAGCCCAGAACTTCTTCCGCGTCTCCCACACAAGTGCAGGAGGCTCAAAGCTTTGAACCATTCTCAACTACTTTCCCGGGCCACAAGCAGGGAGCTGGAAAGGAAGTGGAGCAGCTGGAATACGAACCAATGCCTATATGGGATCCCAAAAGTGCAGGGTGAGGATTTATCCACTATGCTATCATGCCAGGTGCATTAAAAATTTTTTAGAAATAATTTGCTTATTTGGAAGGCAGAGCAACAGAGAGAGAGATCTTCACTCGTCCACTCTCCAAGTGGCCACAACAGCCAGGGTTGGTCCAGGCAGAGCCAGGAACCTGGTGTTCCTTTCAGTTCTCGCATATGGGTGATGGGGACTCAAGGCCCTGGGCCATCCTGGGCTGCTTTCCCCGGCCTGTTCCGTGGCAGGGAGCCCATGGGAAGTGGGGCAGCTTTGGGCCAGCACTGGCAACAGCACTGCCATATGCCAGTCTGCTACCGCAGGCTGCAGTTCAGCTCACTGCACCAAAACATTTACCCCAAGTAAATTGTCTAAGCATGGCCGAACTATCGTTAATATACCTAAGGAATTAATTATGAATTCTTTATCCTTTCTTTATTATTTGAAAGATTCACAGAGAGGAGGAGAGACAGAAAAATCCTCCGTCGAGTGGTTCACCCCCCAAGTGGCCCCAACAGCCAGAGCTGAGTTGATCTGGAGCCAGGAGCCACTTCCGGGTCTCCCACTTGGGTGTGGGATCCCAAGGCTTTGGGCCATCCTCTACCACTTTCCCAGGCCACAAGCCGGGAGCTGGATGGGAAGTAGAACAGCTGGAACACAAACTGGTGCCCACATGGGATCCCAGCACACGCGAGGTGAGGACTTCAGCCAATAGGCTACCATGCTGCCCCGCCCTGGTTGTTTTTTTGTTTGTTTGTTTTTTTGTTTTTTTTTTTTTTAAGTTAGATTCACAGAGAAGGAGAGACAGGAAGATCTGGCAGTTCACTCCTCGAGCTGCTGCAATAGCTGGAGCTGAGCCAATCCGAGGCCAGGAGCCAGGAGCTTCTGGGTCTCCCACGCCGGTGTAGTCTTCTAAGGCCACAAGCAGGGAACTGGATGGGAAATGGAGCAGCCAGGATATGAAGCAGTGTCCCTATGAGATCCCTGGTGTGCAAGGCAATGACTTAACCACTAAGCTATCATGCCAGGCCCTCCTTATACATTTTGGAGATTTACTCATGTGTTTGAAATGTAAAGGGATGGTCAGGGACACAGATGTACCCACTGGTGTTCTCCCTAAACCCCTGTAACGGCCACGGCTGGACCAAACTGAAGGTCGGAGCCAGGAACTCTGACCTGGTTCTCCCACCTGGGTGACAGGGACCCCTAGCCCTTGGCCAACCTCACTGAACTCAGGCACACCAACAGGAACTGCACTCCCACCTGAGACACCAGTGCTGCAGGCAGAGCCTTAACCCACTGGACCACCATGCTGGCCTGTGACCTCTTGGTCTGTGAGCATAGGCGATTTTCTGCCTAAGCTATCCTTTCTCCCTAAGCACTGGGTCTCGTATCAGTCGGGGTTGTGACTGGAAGTCGTGAAGGACAAGCAAAGGCTGCTCCGTTCACGTGGCTTCCATAGTGGATTGCCACAGTGCAGCCTGAAGACCATCACCACAGCCATCAGGGAGCTGCGACTCGGGACCCACAGGGCCAGTGCCCGAGTCCTCGAGACCTTTCAGAGGGCTGTGCTGCAAGCTTGTGTGTGGCACAAGTGAGTGGAGATGAGTCTTGTGCCGGTGTGTATCGGGTGATGGGCTGCTTGGCTGCTTGGCTGCCCCTGGGGAGGGTGAGCTGTGAACAGGACCTTTATGCTCGCAAAGGGATCCTGAAGTTTGGGGCAGGCTTTGGACAGGACCCAGAAAGCAGAGCTGGTGACAGGTCAAGACACAGGAGCCCACTGACCCCCGCTGCCGACACCTGCCGCCATGAGCCGCAGGTCTGGGGAGGCATGTCTTGCTGAAGAGCTGATGTAACACATTTCCGCTCTCATCTACCACTGCTTGTTGCTTGGCACCCGCTTCCTGCCTGGCTGGCCTCTGCAGTGAGAATTTTCAGCACAGGAGACCGAGCACACCCCCTCGTCCTTAGGCCTTGCTCTTGGCTCCCCCTGGAATGGATCCCACAACTCACTAAGTCCAGGTCCTTGTTGTGTGTGTGTGTGTGTGTGTGTGTATATATATATGATTTATTTGCTTTGGCCCCAGCACAGTAGCCTAGTGGTTAAAGTCCTTGCCTTGTGTGTGTCAGGATCCCATATGGGAGCCGGTTCATGTCCCAGCAGCCCTGCTTCCCATCCAGCTCCCTGCTTGTGGCATGGGAAAACAATTAAGGATGACCCAAAGCCTTGGGACCCTGCAACCGCGTGAGATACCCAGAAGAGCTCCTGGCTCCTGGCTTCAGATCGGCACAGCACCGGCCATTGCGGTCACTTGGGGAGTGAATTATCGGATGGAAGCTTCTTCCCTGTCTCTCCTCATTTCTGTATATCTGACTTCGAATAAAAATAAATAAATCTTTCTTTTTAAGTCTTTAATGAGTGAAACAAAGTGAAAAAAAAAAATATCTGAAACCACAGCTTCTGGAAGAACCACTTGTCTTTGCCAGTCTTGTACCCCTCCTCAAACTTGATCTTGGCCTCTCGCCGGGCCTTGGGTTTCAGATCAGGGTCTCTGAAGACATCCTTGTCCACCACAGTTTTGTCCAAGAGAATATCCACCAAGTACCTGGTGGGCATGGGGTGGTTGTAGTTATAATCCCTCAGGAACGACTCGATCTTGGAGAGTTTGGCGATCTTGCGCATGGCAGCCGTCACTGTGTGAGGAGAGTGGTCAGTGCTGGCCACCTGCACATGGCTGTACGGGTGGTCCGGGGTGCCACTGTTGATGTTCTCCACGATCACGGCTTTGCGTCCCAAGTAGCGTCGGCCAGAGGCAGCACCACCTTCCTGGCGGTGCTCCTGCTCCCCTTGAAAAAATAAAGGAAAGAAAGGGAGGGATGGAGGGAGGAAGGGAGGAAGGAAGGAAGATCTTCCAGCCCGGCATGCTGGCTTAGTGGCTGAAGTCCTCACCTTGCATGTGCCAGGGTTCCATATGTGCACCAGTTCTAATCCCGGCAGCTTCACTTCCCATCCAGCTCCCTGCTTGTGGCCTTGGAAAACAGTTGTGGATGGGCCAAAGCCTTGGGACCCTGCACCCGCGTGAGGGACTTGGAAAAAACTCCTGGCTTCGTATCAGCTCAGCTTTGGCTGTTGAGGCTGCTTGGGAGTGAATCATTGGACGAAGATCTTCCTCTCTGTACATCTGACTTTCCAGTAAAATAAAAATCTCTTTAAAAAAAAAAAAAAAGAAAGAAAGAAAGAAGAAAAGAAAGATCTTCCATTCCCAACTGGTCACCAGCCAGAGCTGAAAAAATTCCAATGCCAGGAGCGAGGAGCTTTTTCTGGGTCTCCCATGCGGGTGGAGGGTCCTAAGGCTTAGGAGCATCCTCTACTAGCCTAGGCCACAAGCAGGGAGCTAAATGGGAAGTAGAGCAGCTGGGACACAAACTGGAAGACTTAGAACCAGACCCATAATTTTTTTTTCTTTTAATTAAAAAGGTTATTCAAAATGTATATTATGAAGAAACTAAACATGAATATTAAAACTTTTTTCAGGGGCCAACATTATGGTCCAACAGTTTAAACCTCCACCTGTAAAATGTCTTCCACCAAAAAATTTAAAATTCCATTTCCACAACATATTTTGAAATACCTTTGGGCCCGGCACGAAAGCGTAATGGTTAAGGTCCTCGCCTTGAACGTGCCAGAATCCCATATGGGCGCCGGTTCTAATCCCAGCAGCTCCACTTCCCATCCAGCTCCCTGCTTGTGGCCTGGGAAAGCAGTCGAGGACGGCCCAAAGTCTTGGGACCCTGCACCTGCGTGGGAGACCTGGAAGAGATTCCCGGCTCCTGGCTTTGGATCGGCACAGCACCGGCCATTGCGGCCATTTGGCCATTTGGGGAGTGAATCATTGGACGGAAGATCTTCCTCTCTGTCTCTCCTCCTCTCTGTACATCTACCATCTGCCTTTCCAATAAAAAAATAATAAATCTTTAAACAACAACAAAAAGAAATACCTTTTTATACTGAACCTATTCCAGTGTTAGCCAGTAGGTGGCACTGAGAGAGACTGGGATGTGATTTTGCAAATCAATGTGAAACAGGAGGTGCGTGGTGGGAAGTAACCGAGCCAGAAAGTAAGCATTTGCGGTGAACACCTGAGGCCTGAGAAAGACAAATGAGAAGGGATGTGGAGAGTCTGGGATTCCAACTTCAGGAGCAAACCTCCTACATGTATTTGAAGCTATTATTTTATTTATTTATTTATTTATTTATTTATTTATTTATTTTGAAGAAGTATTTGTTTCCATTGGAAAGGCAGATCACATTTATAGGGAAAAGACAGAAAGATCTTCCATTTGCTGGGTCACTCCCCAAGTGGCTGCAACGGCCAGATTTCAGCTGATCTGAAGCCAGGGGCCAGGAACTTCTTCTGGATCTCCCACATGGGTACAGGGTCCCAAGGCGTTGGCCGTCCTCCACTGCTTTCCCAGGCCACAAGCAGGGAGCTAGATGGGAAGTGGAGCAGCTGGGATAAAAAGCGGAGCTCATATGGGATCCATGTAAGGCGAGGACTTTAGCCACCAGGCTACTGCACTGGGCTACCTTTGTTGTTTTGAAGATTGACTTGCATAAAGGTAAGAAACAATAGTGAAAATGGGCCCAGTGCAGTGGCCTAGCAGCTAAAGTCCTCGCCTTGAACACACCAGGATCCCATATTGGCATCGGTTCTAATCCCGGCAGCCTTGCTTCCTATCCAGCTCCCTGCTTGTGGCCCGGGAAAGCAGTCGAAGACGGCCCAAAGCTTTGGGACCCTGCTCCCGCCTGAGAGACCTGGAAGAGCTCCTGGCTCCTGGCTTTGGATCGGCACAGCACCGGCCGTTGCAGTCACTTGGGGAGTGAATCATCGGATGCAAGATCTTCCTCTCTGCCTCTCCTCCTTGCTGTATATCTGACTTTCCAATAAGAATAAAAAAAAAAAAAAAACCAGTATTAAAAATGCCTGGCTATCCATTTCTGAACAGAAAGGCAACAGGTGGCACTGTGACATCCCACTGATGACAAGCCTTCACTCTCATTGGGTGTCTTCAAGTAGCTTGCAAACCCAGCTAACAAGCATTTCAGAATGGAATTATTGCAGGTCATATTTGCAAGGATGTAAGCTAAGCTCATCAAATGCAACTGACCATCACTCTTATTGAAATTTACTCTTGGATCCCTGCACGGTTGCCTAGCAGCTAAAGTCCTCACCTTGGACGCACCAGGATCCCATATGGGCGCCGGTTCTAATCCCGTAGTTCCACTTCCCATCCAGCTCCCTGCTTGTGGCCTGGGAAAGCAGTGGAGGATGGCCAATGCCTTGGGACCCTGCATCCACATGGCAGACCTGGAAGAGGATCCTGGCTCCTGGCTTCAGATTGGCTCAGCTCCAGCCGTTGTAGACACCTGAGGAATGAATCATCAGACAGAAAATCTTCCTCTCTGTCTCTCCTCCTCTCTGTATATCTGATTTTCCTATACAAATTTTATAAGTAAAATTTTAAAAATAAGTTTACTCTTATTCCTAAAGGACCAACGTAAATCAAGAGAATAGGATGACAGTTGGAGCACCATTTGTTGACCCAGCTTGTTCTGGAGGGTCAGATGCCAGCAGGCCAGGTCTCATGCTGGAATCCCCTGAGGCCACCCGAGCATCATCCTGCACCACACGAGGGCGCCATCAGGCAAGCCCTGGGCAGCCATGAGGTCCTACCCCTGGCTGCTTGTAGACATGGCTGCCCTCCCTCCTCTGGCCACCACTTCCTGGGAAAGTGGGCTGAGGATATTATCCAGGTCACTAATGGACAAAAGTGCACACCCAGCCACATTGCATAAAATAGGCAGAAATGAAATTTGAACCTAGATCTCTAATTTAGGGATCTGAAGACACACAGCTAGTGTGTACACATATGTGTGTGTCTGTTTTGGGGGAGTGGAGACTTTCCTTCCACCAAGCCCGTCCATGTGGTCACCCCCCTTCTCATGCCTTTTGCTGTGGTTCTTCAGTCCAGCACCGTGATCACTTGCTGGGATCCCTAACTGGGCCTCCCTCCCTTTGCTCCAGAAGAGGACCTTGCAGAACCAAAGGCACACAGGAGGGGAGGCAGCTCTGGGGCAGAAGCAGGTCCCACCTGCCTCCCTGGGAAGGCCCACCTGGAGGGAGAGGCATTGGTGGAGGCACTTCCACCCCCTTCCCTCCCAGGGCAGCCTGGGAACCAAAGGCCACAGGTGCATCACCCTTCCCTGGGAGTGGGATGAGGGGTGTGTGTGTGTGTGTGTGTGTGTGTGTGTGTGTGTTGGTGGGGGGCAGACATTCACACAATCAGGAATGGCAAGTCTATAAATCAGTCCATAAATCAGGCTCCTCCAGCAGCCTGCCCTTCTACCCACCCCTCCTCCCGACATTCTGGTGCAAGGAGGGGCCTGGACATATATAACTAGAGAGGCACTGTGGGTGGGGTTGGCTGCGGAAGCTTGGAGCTGAGGTGAGGAGCAGAGTCTAGGGCTGCAGTGGTGGGGAGCTGCCAGGGGCTGAGTCTCGGGGAGACACTGACCGCCCCCTCGCCTTGGTGTCCTCCACGCTGTCCACCAGGCCTGCAGGAGGCTGGGCACATCCTCTGCAGGAAGCAGCCCCTTGCAGTTGGGATGTGGGGTAGAGACGGAGTGGGTGGGTCTCTCTTCCTCCCCCAACCTGCTCTCTGTCCACGTGTCCCATACAGGACCATGGCTCCCGCAGAAGAGGCGGAGAAAGGATCTCCAGCGGTGGTGGGGTTGCTGGTCGTGGGCAACATCATTATTCTGGTGAGATGAACCTGTGTAACCCAGCCTGCCATGCAGGGATGGGCAGCAGGGAGGCTGGGGCCCAGGACTCCCCCATCTTGCCAGCACTGCCCATTCAAGACGGCCTGGGTTCCAATCCCAGTTATGCCTCTCGCTAGTGAAAGGACTCTACTGAGCCACTCAATTTCTCTGCCCACTAGTTTGGGATAGATTGCATGTCCCCACCCACACATGGCCTGGGGCCCAGAAAAGGTGCCAGGCTCATGCCAGCCAGCATCATCATCATTACCGTGGGCATCGAGGAAGTGCTTGATGCCCTGGATGTCCATTGTCATAGCAGTGAGAACGTCCGTGAACAACCTTTGTAATGCGTGCCCATGGCTTTGGGCTGCCTGGGTTTAGATCCAAGTGTGGGGCCTGGGGCCAGTGACCCCTTTTGGTAAAGTAGGAATGAGTCAGAGGTGCTGTGAGGAGGGAGTTACTGGGTCCGTAGGCTTCAGGTCGAGTCTGGCGTTTGTGGTTCCTGTCTGGATTGGCCAGAGCAGCGGTACCCTGTGGCTGGCAACACAAATAAATCCCACATAAAGCAGTTTCTAGGACCAGTGCCTAGCACATAGTGAAAACACTCATGAGCTTTTACTCTTCATGGTTTTTTCACGATTTATTTATCTGAAAGGGAGAAGTGACAGAAAAAGAGATTTTCTGTCTGCTCCTCAAATGGCTGCAAGATTTGACAATGGGCCAGGCAGAAGCCAGGAACCCCCTCCAGGGTCTCGCACCTGGGTGCAGGGGTTCAAGCACTTGAGGCATCTTCAGCTGCTTTCCCAGCTACATTAGCAAGCAGTTGGATTGGAAGCAGGGTTGCTGAACTTAAACTGAGGCCCCCACGTGTCACAGGCAGCAGCTGAACCATTGTTGCCAATGGGTTCACAGAAAAGTCTTCACCCCTTCTTATTTCCTTTCTCCCACTCCCATGGGTAACCTCTTTTGTTTGTGTCTCCAATAAAACGCAAGCAAATTGGGACATGCCCAATCTCTTCCCGTTCTTGCCCCAAACATGGCATCTGCCATATGGGGCTCTGCACCTCCCCTGGGCTCCTGCTCCCAGCCCGTGCACCGCTGCACGGGTGTCACCTCTCCCGCGCTCCTGCCCCCAGCCCGTGCTCCGCTGTGCGGGCGTCACCTCCCCCAGGCTCCTGCCCCCAGCCCGTGCACCTGTGCGGGTATCCTTGGAGAATCTCCTGACTCTGCACCACTAGGGACTCCCTGGCAGGTGTGGGGTGGGGGACTTCTTAAGGGGGAGGAACTTATCCTGGAGCAACAAGGACCGTCCCTTGCTGGATCACTGTTGCCTGCAGGATCACTATTGAGGGAAAGTGCTGGGCCAGAGGACCTTTGTCATTGCCAGGGTCAGGGCCACCCATTCCTTTCCTGGAATAACAGCACTACCAGAGCTCTAGAAAAACGTGCATGGAAAAAAAATACTATACGTGGCTTTCCATTCTTCTGCCCCAAGAGCAGCTTAGCCTCCATTTTTTCTTTCTTTTCAAGATTTACTTATTTTTATTGGCAAGGCAGATTTCACAGAGAGAAGGGGAGACAGAGAGATTTTCCATCACTGGTTCACTACCCAAAAGGCCAAACAGTCAGAGCTGAGCTGATCCAGAGCCTGGAGCTTCCTCTAGGTCTCCCACATAAGTGCAGGGTCCCAAGGCTTTGGGCCATTCTTTTCTTTCCCAGGCCACAAGCAGGGAGCTGGATAGAAAATGGAGCAGCCAGGACATGAATCCGAGCCCATGTGGGTGCTGGCACTTGTAGGTAGAAAATGAGCCAACTCAGCCATCACAACAATCCCATCTTCTAAATGTGTGTGTATTTTCCGCATGGAGAAAAAGACAGCTCTCACTGCTAGGTTCACTCCCTAGATAGCCAGGGCTGGGTCAGGCCAAACCAGGCAGGAGCCTGGAACTACATCTTGGTCTCCCAGGTGGGTAGGTGTTTGAGCCATTACCTCCTGGGGTACACATTAGGAAAAAGCTAGAATGGCACATGCAGTGGGACTGGCATCCAGACACTCCCCATGGTGCCCCAGCCATGTATTAACTGCTGTGCCAAGCACCTGCCTCTAAACTTATCTTCTGTTTTCCTGCAAACCTCCCCTAGCCTGCCCCTGCTCTGGGCCCAGCCAGGCGTTGCTGGCAGTCTCTCCTGCCATTCCCTAGGCAACCCATCCCTGGATGGCTCCAGCTTCTGCCCCTGCTCTATGCCCACTTTGCAGAGAGGGCAACAGAGGCTCAGAATGGAGAAAGGAGCTGCCCACGGAGGCTCACAGAGCCAGGGCCGCTGGCAGGGAGCCCCCTCCCTAACCCACAGGGTCTGCTGTAGCTGTCTGGCCTGGCCCTGTTCGCGGAGACAGTGTGGGTGACAGCCGACCAGTACCGCGTGTATCCACTGATGGGCGTCTCAGGCAAAGACGACGTCTTCGCGGGCGCCTGGATCGCCATCTTCTGCGGCTTCTCCTTCTTCGTGGTGGCCAGCTTCGGGGTGGGCGCAGCACTCTGCCGCAGCCGCCCCATGATCCTCACGGTGAGCCCCGCTCCCCTTCTGCCACAGGGATGGATGGCTTTGAGTAGCTGCCTTGGGGTTCGAACCCCAGCTCTCTGCCTCTGGAGTATGTGCCGGTAGCTCAGCCAGCAACAGCGATGGCAACAATAGCAGCACCATCAGATAATAGGAGTACTAGCTATAGTGAGTCCCCACTTCCTGCCAGCAGCCCAGAGAGTCCCAAAGATTGGTTCATGAGTTCCCTGTCTACTGAAAAATGCCATCATCCTCTCCCTACTTGACAGAAATGGGAAAGGTTCAAACGTGTGAATTCTCTTATCCAAAGTCACACACCAGGTGAGAGGCAGAACCCACAGGTTTGAGCCTGTGCTCCTGCTTTCTGCCAGCAGCCACTCGCACTTCGCACGCACTTGGCATCTGGCACCAGGCACTGCAGCTGTGAAAATGAGCTACCTTGGTCTTTCCAGAAAGGGATGCTTTTCAACCTATCTGCCAGATGAGGAAGCTGGGGTTGAAAAGGCCTGACAGCGGTCTCTGTCCAGTGACTGTGGAAGAACAGAGTCCCATCTGAGCCCCAGCCCCCTTCAGTGAGGCAGCCCCACTGGGGCCTCTGCTATGGTACGGGACCCTTCAGGTCGGGGTACTTGTGGTTCTCCAAGCTGCTCATGTTGATCAAGCAGGAAGCAAGCAGAGGGTGGATGGCGATGGCTGTGAGCAAAACTCAAGGGCCTTGGACCTTGGGTGTCTGCAGGAAAAGCAGGTGGGGAGTTAGGGACGGGCAAGAGAAAGCAGAGAGAAGGAGGCAGAGAGGGAGGGAGCAGCCGGTCTCTGGGACAGTCCTGGGTGGGCGTGGGGGAGCAGGGGCAAAGGCTCTGAGCAAGGCTGAGTGAGGAGGAGGAGGAGCAAGCTGAGGGGAGGAGTGAGAGCAGCTGTGGGGGGAGAGCGGGGGGGGGGGAGCCTGGCAGGCAGTGTGCCAAGCAGACAACCTTGGTTCTCAACCCGCAAGGATAAGGCTTCCCTTTTCTCCCTTCCCTCTCTTTTCTGTCATTATTATTATTATTATTTTTGGTAGGGGTCTTTCCTCATTCTGTATTTAAATCTCTGGCATACCAGCTTAACCAAAAGCTTTAGCTATTCACGCAGCTAGTTTAAAGAAACATGTGTGTACTATCCGTTTGCTATTCACTCAGAGCCAGGCTTTTTTAAGGAATGTATTAGAGGAAGGCTTGACCAAGTGGCCTTTCAAGCCCTGTGCAACTATCACCTGGTCTCACCTGGAGGCCTGGTCTCTTCCCGCCTGCACTTCTTCCTATGGGGCACCTTAAAGCATTTATTTACCCAGAATGCTCAGGTTCTCTGAGTGACTGTCTCCTGGCCATGGACTTAGCGTTGGGTCCTCGCCAGACCTGGGACTTTAAGGATCACGGATGAGCACAGGAGAAGTATTTTCACCAACAACCCCCTATTACTACTGCGCATTCCACCTCCAACCCTGGCACACCTCACAAATGTCGCCCTCCTTCCTGTTTGCCTGCGCCCATCTGAGCTCTCATTGTTGCCCCTCCCCTTTGACAATAGTATGGACATTTTTTAAGTATGGGAAATATTAAGTCTTTTTTTTTTTAAAGATTTATTTTATGGGTCCAGCACTATATCACTCAGTGGTGAAATTCTCACCTCGCATGCCTGGGATCCCATATGGACACCAGTTAGTGTCCCGGCTGCTCCACTTCCCATCCAGCTCCCTGCTTATGGCCTGGGAAAGCAGTTGAAGATGGGCCAGAGCCTTGGGACCCGGCACTCACATGGGAAACTTAGGAAAAGTTCCTGGTTCCTGGTTTCAGATTGGCTCAGCTCTGACCATTGCAGTCACTTGGGGCATGAACCAGCAGACGGAAGATCTTTCTTTCTTTCTGTCCTTCTCTCTGTAAATCTGCCTTTCCAATAAAAAAAAAAATAAGTAAATCTTAAAAGGAAAAGATTTTTCTTTTAAATTAGAAAGGCAGACTTATAGGGAGAAGGAGAGGCAGAGCGATCCACTGGGTCACTTCCTAAATGGCTGCAGTGGCCGCCGTTGAACTTGTTCAGAGCCAGGAGGTAGGAGCTTCTGTCTGGTCCCAAGGCTTTGGGTCATCCTCTGCTGCTTTCCCAGGTCATAAGCAAGGAGATAGGTGGGAAGTGGAGCAGCCAGGACACGAACTGGCACCCATATGGGATGCCAGCACTCAAAGGCAGAGAATTAGCCAGTTCAGCCATTGTGCTGGTCCTTGTTTGAATAGATTCTAAGTCACCCATTCACTTTGGGAAATTTCTTAGATTTTTTAATTGTATTTCCATTTTCATTTTATTATAAAAATATTTCAAATGTTCAGCAAATTTGAGAAACGGGCACAGTGAACAGTAACATATCTACCTGCTGAGTAATATCTGTGTGTCCACCACGCTGCCCTTCACACATTCTTGTGTTTTTGTTTTAGATTTGATTTTACCTATTTGAAAAACAGAGTTACAGAGAACCAGGGAGAGACAGATCTATCTGCTGATTCGTTGTCCAAATGGCTGCAATGTCTGGGGCTGGGTTGGACCAAAGTTAGGAATCTATCACTTTATCCGGTCTCCGACGTGTGTGATAGAGGTCCAAGGACTTGGGCTATTCTCCACTGCTTGCCTAGGCTCACTGGCAGGAAGCTGAATCAGAAGTGAACCATCCTGGACCTGGACCAGCAGTATTCTAACTCGGTCCCCATCACAGTGCCGGCTCCTGTCCAGTCTCTAGCAGCTGTGGCGTCCCAGGCTTCACCCGGCCCTCTGTGAGGGTGACCTTCTTTCCCCTGTGTCTCCGCAGTACCTGGTCCTCATGCTCATCGTCTATATCTTCGAGTGTGCCTCGTGCATCACCGCCTACACACACCGGGATTACGTGAGCCAGCGCAGAGGCCGGGAGGGGCCAGGGCGGGGCGGGCTCGGGCGAAGGCGACCACTCTCCCCTCCTGGTTTCTGCAGATGGTGTCCACCCCGTCCCTGATCACCAAGCAGATGTTGACTTTCTACAGTGCTGACAGCGACCAGGGCCGGGAGCTGACTCGCCTCTGGGACCGCATCATGATCGAGGTGGGAGAGGAAGAGCAAGGCGTTGGGATGATCCGCACCCCCGATGCGCTCAGTTGAAAACTGTGGGCGAAGGGAGGAAAGAAGGGAGGGGGAGAGAGAGAGAGATCTTCCATCCCCTGATTCACTCCTCTGTTACTCAGAACAGCTGGCGGCTGAGCCTGGCCAGGCTGAAGCAAGGCCATTGGAACTCAGCAGGGTGATCCCTGTGGCTGGCAGGAGGCAGCTGCTGCCTCCTACCCCAGGGCAGGGTTTTGGGCACCACCAGTTCGCAGGTGAATAAGTAGGACCAGGAGGAGCAGTCCCTTGCCAGGGGAGGGTGGTAGAGCTGGCATTGGATTCGGGCAGCCTGGAATCAAAGCCTCTGCTCTTAACCAATCCAAAGGCGGCTCAGCAATGAGAATAGCAACAGTAACCATAGCAACTGTTTCTTGAGTGCTAATTTTGGTTTAGCATTGTTCAAAGCACTTCTAAAATTTATGTAATTGAGGCCAGTGAGATGGTGTATCCAGCTAACCCTCCAGCTGTAAGGCCAGCATCCCATGATGGACACCAGTTGAAGCCCTGGCTGCTCCACTTCCCATCCAGCTCCCTGGTTATGGTCTGGGACGGCAGCAGAGAATGAGCCAAGTCCTTGGGCTTCTGTACCTGCATGGGAGACCAGGAAGAAGATTCTGGCTCCCAATTTCAGATAGGATCAGCTTTGGGAAGTGAACCAGTGGAGGGAAGATTCATCTCTCCTTCTTTTTCTGTAACTCTGAGTTTCAAATTTTAAAAAATTACAAAAAAAAAACCAAAACCCTTAAATAATCCTTAGGGCTGCCATTGTAGCACTGGGGATTAGGCTGCTTCCTGCAGTGCCAGTAACCCGTGTGATTTCCACTTCAAGTCTGCTTCAGAAGCTCCCAAATACAGGGAAAGTAGCCTAAGAGAGCCCAAATACTTGAGCCCCTAGGAGACCTAGATGGATCCCCCAGGCACCTGGCTTTGCCCTGGCCCAGTCCTAGCTGTTGCAGACTTCTGGGGAATAAATCAGCAGATGGCAGATCTCTCTCTATTCACTCTGCTTTGCTTTTCAAATGCATGCACAGTGAAATAAATAAAAAATAAACCCAGGTAATTCTTACAACCACCCCATAGGGAAGGTCAGCTTTCTGAAGATGTGAAAAGAGATGTCGCATGCTGGTGTTGGCCCAAAGCTAGGTTGCCAGATTCCAGAGTGACACTTTTTTTAAAAAGGATATTAGTTAGTTAATTTATTTTTAACAGCTTATGTTATTTAGTTGAAAGAGTGACAAGGAGAGACCGAGAGAGAGAGAGAGACACTCTCCCATCCGTTGGTTTACTCCACTATAATCTGAGCTAGGCCAACTGCACAGATGGCCAGGAACAGCCAATCGTGAGCCAGGCTGAAGCCAGGACCTGCACGAGTCCCCATGTGGGTGCAAGGGCTCAAGCACTTGGGCCATCCACTGCTGCCTTTCCAGACACGTTAGCAAGGAGCTGGATTGGGAGTGGAACAGCTGGGATATGAAATGGTGTTCCTGTATGGCCTGGCGACATCCCAAGTGATGGTGGCTTAGCGTGCTGCACTGCAACACTGGCTCCCAGAGAACAGTCCTAAATCCAATAGGATGTTGCATCAGAAGAGAAATAGAGGAGCCAGGTATATTGAGGTCCCTACACAGCCCAGGGTGTACAACTGGCCAGGATTTGAGCTCGTCTTGGATGGATTTTCTGGCCACAAGGACACAACCTCCTGGTACCACAGAGAGCCTGAAATGGGCCTTTCTGTGTGATCTTATCAACAGATTTTCTGAGACAAGAATTCTGAAATAAATCATGGCAGGGGTTTCATCCAGATTTCCTACCTGCCTCCTGTTTGTGGGGCAAAAGGTGTGTCCCATCTTGGCTCTCCTAACTGCCCACCCATGATGTGGCTGCAGGTGGAAGAAGGCCAACCCAATCTCTCCCTGCTTTGTGACCTCTGACCTCTGAACCTTTACCTGCCTGACTCCCCACCCCGACTCATTCTCTCCAGCAAGAATGCTGTGGCACTTCCGGTCCCATGGACTGGGTGAACTACACATCGGCCTTCCGGGCGGTCACACCAGAGGTGGTGTTCCCCTGGCCCCCACTGTGCTGCCGCCGGACTGCCAACTTCATCCCTGTCAACGAAGAGGGCTGCCGCCTCGGACACCTGGATTACATGTTCAGCAAGGTGCGCCCCGTCAGGGCCCTCCTACCTGCTCCCCAGGGTCCCTGACTCCCCTGGTCGGTAGATCCCCCTTCCCCGGTGTGAGAAAATAGGGTCCATACTGTCTCACTGCCCACCTCAGGCATCATTCCAACCCCCCTTGGTCCCCTGCCCAGGGCTGCTTTCACCACATCGGCCATGCCATTGACAGCTACACATGGGGCATCTCATGGTTTGGCTTTGCCATCCTGATGTGGACGGTGAGAAGTGGGGTGCCTGTGGGCTGGGCAGGGCTGGGTGTGAGGTTGGGGGACCCCTGCTCACTGCTGCCTCACACAGCTCCCAGTGATGTTGATTGCCATGTATTTCTACACCACGCTCTGAGCAACCGGAAGAGGAGGCCACGCACACGGATGGCCACCTCCCTGCTCCCGGTGTCGCCCCTTCTCTTCCCTTCCCCCACTGAAGTTTTCTGTGCCCTGCTAGGCCTGAGATGTGCCCCAAATCTTATGGGTCTGTGGGATGGACCCTTTGCCCTTGACCTCACATTCCCTGCCTGACTCCAGTCTCTGTCCTTTGGGAACCCTTCCCTTGACCCCAACAAGCCTTTCCCAGGTGCCTGCCGAGCAGTCCCCGTGGTGACAGGTGTCATTGCTAAACAACCTGTGATTGTTGAAGCTGTGGTAGCCTGGCCTTGCTGTGAAAGAAGAGATGGGCCCCAGCCCCCTCTGCTCTGAACTGAGCGTGGACCAGAAATTCAATAAATGCCAGCTGACCAGCTGAATGAGTGCACGGGTTTGTTTTCTCTGGGTAAAAGTGGCTGTAAAGTGACTCCTACAGGGAAGTGACCCAAACCCAGCTGGCACTATGAAAATCCAGCCATGCAACTTGGTGGCTTCTATGACTGAGTCAATAGGCCAACTTGAGGCACATCTCCACCCAGGGATTCAATGTACACGTGCAGGAATCCCAGACAGGATTTCTTAGGTGATATCAGAGTTGCAACTCTCTCGTGCTCACTTTTTTTGTGTGTGTTTCTTTGTTTAATATTTCTTTAGGTTCTAGTGTGAGGAATCAGAAGGGCTAATAGATAGTTAGAGCCTCTGGTCCCTGGTGGAGTTACCTTTTTTTTCTTCTAAGATTTATTTATTTATTTTTAAAGATTTATTTTTATTATTTTTTTTTATTGGAAAGGCAGATATACAGAGAGGAGAGACAAAGAGGAAGATCTTCTGTCCAATGATTCACTCCCCAAGTGAGCGCAACGGCTGATACTATGCCGATCCGAAGCCAGGAGCCTCTTCCGGGTCTCCCACGCGGGTGCAGGGTCCCAAGTCTTTGGGCCGTCCTCGACTGCTTTCCCGGGCCACAGGCAGGGAGCTGGATGGGAAGTGGGGCCGCATGGATTAGAACCGGCGCCCATAGGGATCCTGGAGCATACGAGGGGAGGACTTCAGCCGCTAGGGAACAACACTGGGTCCATGAAATTATCTTTTAAAATATAAAATCTTGTTTCTTCCCATTTTTTTTTCCCTTTCAAGAAAGCTCTCCATAGCTTTGTCCTTAGTCCCCTTGAAGGAGAGCAAAGGAACAAAATTACAATATCAATTTCCATCACTTAGGGTTGTTATCACAACAAAAGCAAAAGCTTATACCAATCCCCATATCCGAGCTACTATCAAGTAGATGGTGCTTGGGATTTCAGCTTAATCTCAGAACGGGAGGAAGAACAAGTAGAAACATGTTGCCCGTTGTGAAGGAGTTCCCCTCTTTTTATACCCTTTGTCCCCCTCCCTGAAATGGTGCTGGTGTAGCAGGCTACCGCACTGAACCCTCACACGCTCTTTTTTTTTTTTTTTAAGATTTATTTATTTTTATTACAAAGTCAGATATACAGAGAGGAGGAAAGATAGAGAGAAATATCTTCCGTCGATGATTCACTCCCCAAGTGAGTGCACCAGCCGGTGCACTGCTGATCCAGAGCCAGGAGCCAGGAACCTCCTTCAGGTCTCCCATGCAGGTGCAGGGTTCCAGGCTTTGGGCCATCCTCAACTGTTTTCCCAAGCCACAAGCAGAGAGCTGGATTAGAACCGGCGTCCATATGGAATCCTGTCGCGCTCAAGGCGAGGACTTTAGCCACTAGGCCATGCCGCCACCGGGCCCATACACTCTTAAATAAGTCTTGCTTTGCACTCTGAAATTGCATGAAAATTCTTTCATGTGAAACAAGAAATGAGGGCAGAGTGCAATAGCTAAAGTCCTCTCCTTGCATGCCCCGGGATCCTATACGGGCACCGGTTCTAATCTCGGCAGCCCAGCTTCCCATCCAGCTCCCCGCTTGTGGCCTGGGAAAGCAGTTGAGGACGGCCCAATGCCTTGCAGGGAACTGATGTTTCGTTCACTGTGTGTTTGGACATTTTTCCAAATATTCTATGATGGCGCTTGTTTCCTCCTACAACAGCAATAAGTCAAGAAATCAGTGTTCGTTACAACGCCACTGCTGGAGGTGGGAAAGCAATGTGCTGGCGGATGTCTTCAGGCCTTATCTGAGCAGTTAGGGCGAACCAGGCCTTGCCAGGACCCGGCTCCGGGTGGAACCCACATCGGCCACAGTCCCCTCCCTGTGGCCAGACATCTGCAGAATGTGACTCAACCAAACTGGGAGAATGTGGCTTGACCAAGGCTGGCAGGACAAGTTTATCTGCTCCCGGCTTCCTTACTCAGAGGGCCAGCTCCTATAGGTGAGAGGGGAGCCAGGAGATGAGGGTCAGGTCAGCCCCTTGGTGGCTGGTTGCCATTGCTCGGCCACGTGACCACAGCCCTCCTTGGCTTCTCACCTCCCAGGACCTTCAACACAACATTCAGTTCTTGCCCCACTGGGGCCTGGGAAGCCAGCCCCTTTCCATCTCTCCCTCCCCACCTGAGAGCTAGAATGAAAAGAAACTGTAATGCAATGTAGGACTCAGTCACTCTCCCTCTGACTATATCTACTATTGCTTCTTCCATGAAGGCAAATAGATCTTTTTTTTTTTTTTCAGTAAAATGTTTAACACCCACACTGCTAGCTCCTCTAGGAATCTTTCTTGCTTGTGCATTCAGGCGAGTGTGTGAAGATTCAAGTAATGGAAAAGCAATAACTAGGGTTGGTGTTACAGCACAGAGGGCCAAGCCACCACCTATGGTACCAGCATCCGATATGGAAAGCACCTGAGTTTCAGTTGCTCTAGTCTCTACTAATAATCCTTGGAAAGCAACAGAGGATGGCCGCTGACACCATGTGGGAGACCCAGATGGAGCTGCAGGCTCATGGCTCCCACCTGGCCCAGTTACAACCACTGTGGCCTTTTGGGGAATGAACCACTGGAGGAACTCCTCTCTCTCTTGCTCTCTTTTTCCTTTCAAATACATAAATATCAAAATCCTTAAGAACATAATGCAGGGCCCGGCGCGGTGGCGCAAGTGGTTAAGGTCCTCGCCTTGCACCCCCGGGATCCCATATGGGCGCCAGTTCTAATCCCGGCAGCCCCACTTCCCTTCCAGCTCCCTGCCTGTGGCCTGGGAAAGCAGTCGAGGACGGCCCAAAGCTTTGGGACCCTGCACCCGCGTGGGAGACCCGGAAGAGGCTCCTGGTTTCGGATCGGCATAGTATCGGCCGTTGCGGCTCACTTGGGGAGTGAATCATTGGACTGAAGATCTTCTTCTCTGTATCTCCTCTCTGTATATCTGCCTTTCCAATAAAAAATAATAAAAATAAATCTTTAAAAAAAAAAAAGAACATAATGCAGAGAAAGCTTAAGTCACATCAAAGGGAACTCATTAAGCAATTTAGTTCTGTCAATATGAGGAGGTAAAGTTTAAACAGAATCCGAGTTGTATTTGCTGCTATGAAGCCATCTCCTTCAAGATACATGGTTCAAGTCAGGATCCTTGAAGAAGAGAAAAAACATCAGCAGAAAGACAAACGCAATTTCTTTTTTTTTTTTTTTAAAAAGGTTTGTTTTTATTTGAAAAAGCAGATTTTACAGAAAGATCTTCTATTTGCTGATTCACTTCCCAAATGGCTACAACAGCTGGAACCTGGAACTTGTTCTGGGCCTCCCGTGTAGGTGCCAAGGATTTGGGAAACCCCCTGTGGCTTTCCCAGGTGCGTTAACAGGGAGCTAGATCAGAAGTGGAAAGCTGGGACTTGAACCGGTGTCTATATGGGATGCCGGTACCTCTCCCTCTCTTCCTGTCTCTGTAACTGCCTTTCAAATAAAAACAAATCTTTTTTTTTTTTCAATTAAAGATATATCCATTTTTATTGCAAAATCAGATATACAGAGAGGAGAAGAGACAGAGAGGAAGATCTTCCACCCAATGATTCACTCCCTAAGTGAGCGCAACGGCTGGTGCTGCGCCAATCCGAAGCTGAGAACCAGGAGCTTCTTGTGAGTCTCCCATATGGGTGCAGGGTCCCAAGGCTTTGGGCCGTCCTCGACTGCTTTCTCAGACCACAAGCAGGGAGCTGAATAGGAAGTGGGGCTGCCGGGATTAGAACTGGTGCCCATACCCATATTCTCATATGGGCACCATATGGGCACCCGGCGTGTTCAAATTGAGGACTTTAGCCACTAGGCCACTATGCCAGACCCAAAACAAATCTTTAACACACACACACACACACACACACACACACACACACGCACGTGCAAAAGTAAGCTGAACCCTAAGTGGGAAAGGAGGAGGAGACTTTGGACAGCACACTGTCACCCTGGGTGGATGTGGCGCTTCCAGAAGTGCCTTGAGGCGCTTCTGCATGGTTCCCTGCGGTCCCGGCCCTTGCTGTGCTGAACTGGGAAACAGACTTGGCGGACCACTCCAGGGCACACCTGGTCTTTGGACAAAGCAGCCTAGGAGCTGGGCAGGGCTGGTGACTTGGATGTGGCTGGAGTAGGGGACCAGCCTCTGGGGGCAGAAGGACGAGCCTTCCTCCTGACAGCAGGTGATTGGTGACCCAGGAAGCACTGAGACTTCCACGTGATCATGACTATCACCCTTGTCCTCCTTCGCTTCAGGGGATCCCATCCTCAAGGGGCCATTTGTCAGCAGGCCCTGGGCTAGGCCTTGTCAATAGAGGGCGCTGGAGGGACGCTGCTGGGGAGGGAGCCTGTTCCCGGTGGCCTGCAGTGTTGGCTCTCCTCTGTCCTGTAATCCAGACTTGCCAGGCCTTTTGGGCCTTGCCAGGGGCCACTTAATCCAAGAAGGAGACAGGAGAATCTATTAAAAACGTGAAGTTAGAATCATTATTTGTCATTGAGTTGGCTGCAGACAAATCAGAGCTAGTAGAAGGACAGAAATCTATTCTTTATTTAAAAGGTAGACTGATGGAGAATGCTTTAAGAGGGAGAGAGTTGCTACCTACTGGTTCACTCTCCAAAAGCCTGCATCAACCAAGGCTGGGCCAGGCCAAAGCCAG